TTTTTGACTGCATCAGGTCTTAGTTGCAGCGTGCGGGATCTTTCTTTGCAGTTCATGCATGGGCTTCTCTGTAATTGTGGCACTTGGGCTTAGTTGCCAGGTGTCATGCGGGATCTTAGTTCCCTGACCAGGGATCAAACCCTTGTCCCCTTCATTGGAAGGCAGATTATTGTTATTTTTTTAATTATTCATTTTTGGCTGTGTTGGGTCTTTGTTACTGCGTGTGGGCTTTCTCTAGTTGCAGCGAACAGGGGCTACTCTTCGTTGCGGTGCGTGGGCTTATCATTACGGTGGCTTCTCTTGTTGTGGAGCACGGGCTCTAGGCACACAGGCTTTAGTAGTTGTGGCGCACGGGCTTAGTGGCTCCGTGACGTGTGAGAACTTCCCGGACCACAGCTCAAACCTGTGTCCCCTGCATTGGCAGGCGGATTCTTAACCACTGTGCCACCAGGGAAGTCCCTGTGTCTGTTTTATGTAATTAAAAAACTTATCAACTTTATTAGGTATAATTAAGAAAAATTGCATATATTTAAGGTGTACTACGTGATGGTTTCATATAAAAATACACTGTGAAATGGTTACCGCAAGCAAGCTAATTAGCATTCATTACCTCACATAGTTACTGTTTTGTTTTTTTTCTTCTCCCTCACCCCTCTCCCCCTGGCAACCACCTGTTTGTTCTCTATGAGTCTGTTTCTGTTTTCTTATGTTGGCTCATTTGTTTTGTTTTTTTAGATTCCACATATAAGTGAGATCATATTGGTATTTGTCTTTCTCTGTCTGACTTATTTCACTTAGCATAACCTTCGGGTCCATCCATGTTGTCACTAATGGCAAGATTTCATTCTTTTTTTAATGGCTGAACAGTATTCCATTGTATTGGGTTGGCCAAAAAATTCACTCGGGCTTTTCTGTTACATCGTACAGAAAAACCCGAACGAACTTTTTGGCCAACCCCCCCCCCACACACACACAAATCTTCTTTATCCATTCGTCCGTTGATGGACACTTAGGCTGTTTCCATATCTTACCTATTATAAATAGTTCTGCATGAACATGGGTGCCTCTGTGTGTGTGTGTGTGTGTGTGTGTGTGTGTGTGTGTGTGTGTGTATCTTTTCGAATTATTTTCTTCAGAATAATACCCGGAAGTGGAATTCCTGGATTGTATGGTAGTTCTATTTTTAATTTTTTTGAGGAACCACCATATTGTTTTCCATATCGGCTGTATCATTTACATTTCCATCAACAGTGCACGACCTCACCAACATTTGTTATTTATTGTCTTTTTGGTAATAGCCATTCAGACAGGTGTGAGGTGATAATCTCATTGTGGTTTTGATTTGCATTTTTCTGATGATTAGTGATGTTGAGCATCTTTTCATGTGCCTGGTGGCCATCTTCTTTGGAATGTCTGTTGAGGTCCTGTGCCCAATTTTAATTGAAGTGTTTTTTTTTAATATCTAGTTGTATGTGTTCTTCGTATATTCTGGATAGTATCATTTGCAAATATCTTCTCCCATTCATTAGGCTGTCGTTTGTGGCTAGTTTTCTTCACTGTGCAAAATCTTTTTAGCTTAATGTAATCCCATTTATTTTTGCTTGTGTTTGCCTTGCCTGAGGAGACATATCCAAAAAAATATTCCTAAGATCCATGTCAAAGAGCATACTGCCTATGTTTTCTTCTAGAAGTTTTATGGTTTCAGGTCTTATAAGTCTTATAAGCCTTTACTCCATTTTGAGTTTTTTTTGTGTGTATATGGTGTGAGAAAGTGTTCCAGTTTGATTCTTTGCATATAGCTGTCCAGGTATCCCAACATTTTAAAAAATATATTTATTTATTTATTTTGGCTGCTCTGGGTCTTAATTGCAGTATGTGGGATCTTCGTTGCAGCATGTGGGATATTTTAGTTGCAGCATGTGGACTTCTTTGTTGTGGCATGCGAACTCTTAGTTGTGGCGTGCATGTGGGATCTAGTTCCCTGACCAGGGATTGAACCCCGGGCCACCTGCATTGGGAGCGAGGAGTCTTACCCTCTGGACCACCAGGGAAGTCCCTTCCAACATTTATGGAAGATGTGTCTTTTCCTTATTGCCTCTCTTGTTGTAGATTAATTGCCCATATAAGCATAGGTTTATTTCCAGGCTCTCTGTTTTGTTCCATTGATCTTTGTGTCTGTTTTTGTTCCAGTACCATATTGTTTTGATTCCTGTAGCTTTGTAGTATAGTTTGCAGTCAGGAGTGTGATACCTCCAGATTTGTTCTTCTTTCTCAAGATTGTTTTGGCTATTCAGGGTCTTTTGTGTTAGCTGTGGGCTTGTCATATATGGCCTTTATTATGTTGAGGTATATTCTCTCTTTACCCACTTTGTTGAGAGGTTTTTTTTTATCATAAATGGGTTGAGAGTTTTTATCATAAATATCATAAAAGCTTTTGAATTTCATCAGAAGCTTTTCCTGCATCTGTTGAGATGGTCATATGATTTTTATTCTTCGATTTGTTAAGGTGGTGTATGACATTGATTGATTTGCAGATGTTGACCCATCCTTGCATCCCTGGAATAAATTCCACTTGATTGTGGTGTATAATCCTTTTAGTGTACTGTGTATTTTTGGAGTTGGTTTGCTAATAGTTTGTTGAAGATTTTTGCATCTGTGTTCATCAGTGATACTGGCTTATAATTTTCTTTTTTTGTGATATCTTTGTCTGGTTTTGGTGTTAGGTTGATGCTGGCCTCATGGAATCAGATTGGAAGCATTCATTCCTCTGCAATTTTTTGGAATAGTTTGAGAAGGATTGGTACAATATTAACTCCTCTCTAAATGTTTGGTAGAATTCACCTGTGAAGCTGTCTGGTCCAGGACTTCTGTTTTGGGAGAGGTTTTTTTTTTTTTTGCGGTACGCGGGCCTCTCACTGTTGTGGCCTCTCCCGTTTCGGAGCACAGGGTCCGGACGCACAGGCTCAGCAGCCATGGCTCACAGGCCCAGCTGCTCCGCGGCATGTGGGATCTTCCCGGACTGGGGCACGAACCCTTGTCCCCTTCATCGGCAGGCGGACTCTCAACCACTGTGCCACCAGGGAAGCCCTGGGAGAGGTTTTTAATTACTAATTCAATTTTATTACTGGCAGTGGGTTTATTCATATTTTCTTTTTCTTCCTGATTCAGTCTTGGGACATTGCATGTTTCAAGGAATTTATCCATTTCTTCTAGGTTGTCCATTTTATTGGTGTACAGTTGTTTATAGTAGTTTCTTATGATCCTTTGTGTTTCTGTGGTGTGGATTGTACCTTCTCCTCTTTCACTTTTTATTTTACTTGGGTCCTCTCTTTTTTCCTTCATGAGTCTGGCTAAAGGTTTATCAATTTTGTTTATCTTTTCAAATAACCAGCTCTTAGTTTCATTGATCTTTTCTGAGTTTAGCCTCTGTTTCATTTATTTCTGCTCTGATCTTTATGATTTCTTTTCTTCTAACTTTGCGCTTCGTTTGTTCTTCTTTTTGTAGGTTCTTTTAGGTGTGAGGTTAGGTTGGTTATTTGAGATTTTTCTTGTTTCCTGAGGTAGGCTTGTGTTGTTACAAGCTGCCCTCTTAGAACTGCTTTTGCTGCCTACCATGGATTTGGGATTCTTGTGTTTCTATCTCCGTTTGTCTACAGGTATTTTTTAATTTCCGTTTTGATTTCTTCAGTGACCCACTGGTTGTTTAGTAGCACATTGTTTTAGGTAATGTTTTAAAATTTTTATGTATGTAGTTTCAACTAAGATATGTGTGTGTGTATATATATATATATATATATATATATATATATATATGTATGTATATATAGGCAGAAATGTTAAATGAAATGTCATTAAATAAAATATGTATTAACCATAACATTGAGGGGATCCTTTCTGTTGCATTTCAACTAGAAATACCTAAGGAATTTTACATTTTCCACAAAAAAACCTTTTGAGGGTCTGAGTTTTATTTTAGTTAGCCTCAGCTCAGAAGGAAAGTGTTTTATGTAGCCTGAAGGAAAATTATTTTTGTCAACTTTGAAAGTTGAAATCTAATCAGATAATCTGTGAGATATAGAAATGTTTATTAACCTTTTATTTTTCAAATGAATTTTAAAGACCTACAGATGCTATAAGTTTCTTGACCTAAATTAAATTAGTAAGCTCATCTTTGAATTCAGAATTTTTTGTTTGCAAAGGATGAAAGCATATTAAAGCCTAAAACCTCTGTTTATAAAACTTGGCAGTGATAGAAACAACTGTAAAAGTACTGGGAATATATAAAATAAATGTATTCTGAATACAAATATGTTCTGAATGGGAGGAGTGAGCTATCATAGTTGGATTCAGTGTTTCAGATGAAATGATGGCACTCTGCCCCAAATATCTGGGGCAGGAAATATTAGTAAATTGTTAAGCGTCTGGTTTATTTTTCTCCTTTGGAGTCTTCCTCTTTGTTCTCCATTCTGTGCTACAGACCAGGACCTTACTTTTCCTTTTACTGCATGAGAATAGCGTGTGCCCCATACTTCTGGTATATTCATGGTTTTCTTAATTTGGAGGATATAAGTCTTTTGATGATAATGGGCCTTCTCTCTTGAGCTGCAGTTTGCATGAAGATGTGAAGGTAAGGGGCCGTGAATGTCATTTTCAGGAGACATTATCACTGATCTAGACAGCCTTTTAGGTTTCCTTCCCTGTTATGTCAAAACTGTTTCTGAGCTGTTTCCTTCCTAGCAGCCCAGCCAGATGAGGAGGAGGACACAGGCTGCATCAGTGGCTCTGTACTCACACTGGCCTGAATTCCAGTCACAGCTCCTCCATAGTCGTGGGACGACCTACCCAAGCCTCAGCTTCCTCATCTTCACATTATCTCCTAGCCCCTAGTCAAGATAATGAGTCTTGATTTTGTATTTTCTGACTTAATGCTTAAAATCCTACCCATATTCTAATGTTTTCTTTCCCCCTCTTTCACTAGTAACCTTTCTTATTGGTTTCAGGGGTTCAACAGGATGTAGCTTCACAATCTCTGGATCAAGAAGTTTTATTAAAAGTTAAAACTGAAATTGAAGAGGAGCTAAAATCCCTGGACAAAGAAGTTTGTGAAGGTCTCTTTATCTTTATTTTCCTAGTTAATGAGTGGGTTGTTTGATGTGGTGGTTTTGTTTTTTACAGTGGAGTGTTCACAACACTACACAGCTTCATGGGCCTAGGATTATAGGGGTGAAACTAGAAAGTACCTCTTTCTTTCCTGGGGGAATCTGTTTATAAGTTTCTAAACTATACCCAACAGAGTAGATGGAACCTTTTCTGGTGTTAAGTAACGGACTAAACAGTCATGTTAAGGTACTACTTTCCGTTCAGTGTGATTGATATCTTTATATTAATAACACTAAAGGGAGAAATGTAAGCATGCTGCTTTCATTTTTCATGTGCTATAGATGGTGGTGGCAGTGATAACATTTTTAATACCGCCAAAAGAAACTATATATGTTGACAGTAACTTCCCACTTCTAGTCCCACCAGCTCCCTGTCTCCATCCCCAGTCCATCCTCTTTCTGTCTCCATGCATTTGCCTATTATGGGTCTATATGTAAATGGAGTCATACGCTGGGTGGTGTTTCGTGACTGGCTCTCTCACTGAGCATATAGTGTTTTCAAGGGTCATCCAGGTGCCAGCACAGATCAGTACTTCATCCCACTGTCTGAAGAATAATCTCCCACTGTGTAGATACAGCACATTTTGTTTATCCATTCATCAGTTGATGGATATTTAGGTTGTTTCCACTTTCTGGCTATTATGTATAATGATGCTGTGAATATTTATGTACAAGTTTTTGTGTAGATGTGTATTACCCAGTAATTTTTACTTTTTTATTTTTTGGGTTTTTTGTTTTCTTTTTTTTTTTGGCCATGCCACGTGGCTTGCTGGATCTTAGTTCCCGACCAGGGATCAAACCCGGGCCCTCGGCAGTGAAAGTGCCAAGTCCTAACCACTGGACTGCCAAGGAATTCCCTGCCCAGTAATTTTTAACAAGAAAAAATAGAAATCATGTTTATAAATGAGCTCCCTGTTGAACATTAACAAAACCTAATGTTAATGTTCTCTTTTATTTTCCTTTACTGACATTTTTAACTGATTAATGTTATAATCCTGTTTTAATCCTTGCCCATTTCTGATAACAGTACTGCATGGCAAAATGGGCAAAAGGCAGAAAAGAAAATGGCAACGAAGGCTTATGTGCACTTCCTCATCGAACCTGTATTCCCCAAGACTTAGCATCAGAGTGGGCGTTCTCAGGCTTGCTCAGACCGTGCAGCATCTGTGAACTTTGTAGCCATGTATATCTTTCTTGAAGAAATACATATTTAACTCTAGTGAAATTTGCAGCCTTCTAGGAGCAAGCTTTGGATTAATGCAATAAATGCTTTATGGAGGTTATTGATAACTCTTGGGAGTGGGTACAAGCCACCTGCTTTCCTGGAGGTCTATGCCCTGCATCCCATTTGTACCCTGGACCAGGGATGATCTGGCCTCTCCTTCCTGCAGTTAGAGCAGGCCTGCATCTGTGTAACAGGGAGTGAGGAAGCAGAGGAGAAGCTGGCTGTGTGAGTGGGCAGCTTGTATACTTTTAAACTATATCCATGTGCATGATTGTGAGTTTGGAAGTTCACTCTAAAAGGGAATGAAAGTAATGAGGTCCTCTAAGGTGGAATAACTGATTAGAATCTGGTTTAAGAAGAGCCACATTTGTAAAGGTAAAAACAAATCTTAAGGGAGGGGTGATAGAGCTGGGAGTTGCTCTCATTTATCATTCTTTGACTGAATGGGTCTGCGGTAATATACAAAATTGGTTTGTGTATTTTGCCATGTCAGTTTAGCCTTTTTCTTCTCTTGAAACTAAGATTTTTCATAAAAATCTTTCCTTAAAAAAAGAGAAACCTCTAAATTGAAGGCCTTTCAAAGGAAGAAACATTAATATCCCATAACGATTATCTGACATTTTTAACTGGCTTATAACTAACTGTTAGCTAGTTCCCAGTAGTTGGCATCTTAACCCCCTGAGCTTTTTTTTTTTTTTTTTTTTTTTTTTTT